GGTAAAAAAAAATAAAAAATAAAATATATATATATATATATACAGTAACATCACCAATCTCTCCCAGCTGATTCATCACAGTACATTAAGACAAGTTTTCTGAAATTGTATGCCTAAATATGCAAATTAGGTATTGTCTAGTTAAATATGAACTCATTTGCATACATTTGGGCATAGCCAGATTCAAAATTCTAGTTTTATTTTGTTGACATATTAAATATGACATATGAACAAACCTTCAGAATATAGACGGTTTCATCGGGCGCACGCGTTCATCTTGCATGTTATATGCCTGATAAAGCAGCGTTTGTGAGCCATTACTGGGGAAACCTCTGTTTCTCCCACTTTAAAGCACCTCCTACTGGCAGAGAATGAATTAGCATTTTCAGCAAGTCCGTCTGATTTACCCAGCAAACATATTTTGCTTATCAAAAATAATCTACTCTAGAGGGACTACTTAGCTGCTGTTATTGATTCTATTTGGAAGTCTACCGGAAGTTAAGTTAGGGCCACAAAAGCGCGCATGCGCAGTGACGTTTGTTTATGTTATTGCAGTTGAAACCGTCTATAGATATAAATAAAACTGTAAATGTTGGTGTTTGCAAGTGCTACTGAAGTGGATTTAAACATTAAAGATATGTATAGCTATTCAAATCTACAGATGCAAATAAATACAGTGCAATAAAATAAACACAGTGTATTTTGTTTTGTTTTTTCCACTAGTCTCAAATAAGACGCTATAGAAGCAAAATAGGCCAACATCCCAAAATTGACCAGTTGTTTTTTTTTTAAAGATGCAAATTATGCATTATCTAATTAAATATGCACTCATTTGCATGCATTTCCAGAACAGGAATCTAAACATTGGACAAAGTTTGTTTTAAAAGTGCTTGTTTGATTTTGTTGACATATTAGAGTCAAAAGTTTTTACAGAGGAGATTATAGATATCTCTTTTTATCATGCCATAAATCAGAAAATACTGTCAACAGACAGAAAAATAAAATTTTCACCATGTTTTTAAGAATAAAATGTTGTAAAATCTGGTAAATGGTATATGAACCTTTAAAGGTAAACACCTTCAGAATATAGATATGAATAAAACAGCATTGTTTTATAATACTGTTTTATTATATATTTATTTATTTATTTCATATTGATTTCATACATGATTTCTTTATATATTTAATACTTTTTATATTGTATATTGTTATATATTGTAAAAGTTTGCTCTACGTAAGTGCCACTGAAGATTTAACTTCTGTTTAACTTCTAACACTGAAGAAGATTTAAACATTAAAGATATGTAAAGTGATTAAAATCTACAGATGCAAATAGATAAAGTGCAATAAAATAAACACAGGGTGTATTTGGATGTTTTCTGTCCACTAGTCTGAAATAAGAAGTATTATGGAAGCAAAATAGCCCAAGATCTCAAAACTGCCCAGTGCTTTTGCTGCAGTGTACTGCCTTAAAATGCACTGAATTATCATGCAGAAAAAGCCCAAAACACGCTCTTGTTGAGTCGAAATGATCATGCATGATGACAGTTTGTGTCCAGACAGAGCGGGTCGGTTATAAATAGAGCCCGACCGATATATCGTTTAGCCGATATTATCAGCCGATATGAGCCTGTCGCCGATATGAATTTTTTTTTTTACAAAACATATAAGATAAAATGCTTGAAATGGTATAATTACTTAGTTTGTCCAGCAGAGCACGCTCCATTGTTTGCTCCTGGATGAAATGCTTTAAAGCTTATGTCTATGGAAAACAATTGAAAATTTGAACGGCCATATCTCTGTAAATGCATGGCGAATCCACACCTAATTCGGGGGATCCCTTCAGATCAAGGAACCCTCTCGAATGCGAACTGATTGTACGTCTCGAGGCCCTCTTTCGAATGAGACCCCCGCGTCGATAGCCCCCGGGGTTCGGGAGTTACGGGGGGTTAAATTCGAGGTCCGGTGCCAACCGATCTGGCGATGCCGGGGGGCTACCGACACGCGGAGGGTGGCGTTCGAAAAAATGTGTTTATGTATATATATCCTGTTTATGTACTGTATATACTGTATTCTATATATAGTACCAGTCAAATGTTTGGACCCTCGAATGGGAAAGTGTCCAAACTTTTGATTGGTACTGTACTATAATATACACAAAGAATATCGGCCGATATATCGATATCAGCCTTTTTTACTCCCTAATATCGGTATCGGCCCCAAAAAATGGCCCCGGGCTCTAGTTATAAAGGCCTCAGAGGTCAGAGTGTAACGTGAGAAATCACCATGTCTATCCTTCCTGTGAAACAATCCACTTAACACAGACGCTGATCAATCCAGCTGCTGCGTCTCTAACAGAGCCGTCCGTCTCGCCAATCAATTCAATTTCAGCAGGAGAAATGAAGCCTTTCAGTGAAAGCCGAGCTTCAGAAGAACAGATTTACATGTTTGAACACACACACGCACAAAAACCACACATCCAGTGATGGAAACCTGACATTTGTAAACTCTGAATCTGTTTGTCACCAAACACATCCTGCAACTAAAAATCAAGAGAGGAAAAACACGCTTATGTTACAACTCTGGTCTAACTATTTAAAAAATAAACAAAAGTTCAGCCAAACAACCAACTAGACCTGCTCAGACCAGATCAGACCAGCTAGTGACTATGAATGACCAATTCAAACCACCTAGAAACCATGTAAAACCCTTAGGAGCCGGTTTTATCTGAATTTGTTAGTATGAATTCTAACAGCTGTATTTTTTTTTAAAGCTACAAAAATTAAAATAATGTATTAATAATATTATAAATGAATAACAAATTCACATATGTTACACTTATTTATTTGTATTATTTTTAAACAAATATTTATATTTATAAAAACAAAAATCAAACAATATATAACTAAAATTTAGACCAGCTCAGATCAGCTAATGACTAAATACAACCAAACCACTTAGAAACCATGTAAAACCCTCAGGAATCAGTTTTATTTGGATTTATTAGAAAACGTACTGGTTACAAAAAACCCCCCGCAAATTATACTAAACAATTTATAATGATATAATATAATATTATCATATAATATATTCAAATATTATATGATAAATTGATTAATTTATAAACAAATATTTGTTCAAATTAAAATGTACCGTATTGACCCGAATATAAGACGATGTTTTTTTTCTTGGAAATACATCCGAAGAAATGCGGTCGTCTTATATTCAGGGTCTAGACTTTGACATGTCAATAATACACCCACAACAATAGGTGGCGCCAAATACGCATAAAACGAGTGTGCCATGAAATACGTAATGTAATGCATGTTGTAAAGATCGTGAGTAAAAACAAAAGAAAAAGAAAACCTTACAGCTGCATGAGTCCTGACTGTCACGTTAGCCTGATGGGACCAAACTCCCTTTGTGATTTTAAAACGTAAGACAGTACCCAGATCTGAAGACTACAGTAAGATTTAACTTCTACTGTTAATAAGATTTTGGTAGGCTACTATTAGATGGATAGCCTAAATGTCCTAATTCAGATGGGCTACCTGTTTTTTGTTTTTTTTAATGGTATATCAAAAAGTGAATATTTTTTAAATGTGATTGTTGGTACATTTTACCAGTTTTTACCATACTTTCAAAACAAAAATTAAAATAGGAAAAATATGCAATATGAAAATAATTGAAGACAAAATGTGTTTTACTGAGAAAAAACAAGATTTAGTTTTTAAAAAGCCGTTTCAAAAGGTACATCTGGAAAAAGGGGGGTCGTCTTATAATCAGGGTCGTCTTATATTCGGGCCAATACGGTATATATATAAACTGCAATATAAATTGTTTATAATTGATGAAATCGTATGTTTTATTTACATAAAACAGAACAGAACAGAATAGAATAGATAAGCACAGAATTGGTGTATTAAATCTAATCTGATTTTTTTTTTTTTTACATTATAATGAGCAATGAGAAACTAATGAAAATGATCAATGAGAAACCATCACAACCATCTAGACCTGCTCAGATCAGCTCAGACAAGCTAAAGACTACAAAAGGACAGCTTGGACCATCTAGAAACCATGCACAACCCTCAGAAACTGGTTCTGTTAGCATGAAAAACACAGATTCTAAAAGCGATAGATATTAATACACAACATTAGGACATTCAGCAGTAGGGCTGTCAAAATAAATTCAAAATTCGAATATTCGTTGAATTAAAAAAAAAAATCCACATTCGAATACAAAAACGTTGCATTCGAATTTTAGGTCTGCGTCAGCCGTCAGGCAGCCTATCAGTGGCGCACGAGATGCGACGACGATGTAAGCGTCATTGCTTTTGTTAGCCTATCCAGTTGAACCCACTATGTGGCGCTGCTAAGTTGTTCATTCAATATATTGCGGAAAACGAGAGCATCAGTGTGGAGAAGATGTTGTTTACGTCAAAACTAAAACCAAGCCGTTCACACAGAACGCATATTTATCACACTTTCTAGAGGGACATCTATCAGCGTTGCACTCACGTCTCGCACAAGAGAGCGGCATGTTTAGAAAGCCATGTAAAATTAATGTAAGTTCAACTTTCAAGAAAGTAGCCTACTCTTTGTGATTGGTTTTCGGTCCTACATACATGCATGGTGCTGTTTTTTTTTTCTAATTGTTTAAGCAACTTTATTAATTATATATGGTTTATAAACATTATTTTAAACATTATGCACTTTTTTTTCAAATATAGTCGTGTTATTTTTACGCTTTGAAGAAACGTGCATAATATTTTGCATGATGCGCCCTCTTGTGGCCTCAGGAGAGAAGCCAAAAGCTTTTTTCCCCCTAACTGAAATTATGCCTTTTAAATTCGAATATAATTCGAATTTTGATAATATTTAAGTACAAAATTCGAATATAGTTTTTCAGTCATTTTGACAGACCTACTCAGCAGAACTTGTGTGATGTTTTTCTCACCCTGACGTCGGTGGCGTCTCCATGCCGGATGTTGCTGGACCAGGTGCTGTAGCTGGTTTTGGTGGTTGACCAGCAGGATTACCAGCTTTAGAAGGGTTGGTAAACCATCTTGACTAAGCTGGTGGAGAGTTATGGGTTTTTTAAGCTGGTTAACTCGACACTCAACCTTTCTGCTGATCATCTGAGCACACATTAAACACCAAGATTTAGTCGCATATGCGAGTGATTTACTCGCAATGTAGAGGGTTGACAGCACACTCAGAGTCAGAACAGATGGATGCTGGGAAGGACTGATATTTGAGTGGTTTTGAGGCGATGTAGCGGCACATTCCCATCAGCAGCATTCCTACAATCCCAGACGTCCGCTTATCTGCCGCTTATCACCATCACAAATATGAAACACACCCGGCACACAGATAAACATACGTGCAAGAACAAATACACACAGCAGCACGGTTACGCAACTCAGTGTGTGTTTCCCGTTTTCAGTTTAATATAAAACTAATCTAATAAAAGATAAACCATGAGTCCTTTCATAGTGAGATCTGAGAAACTTCAAATACTATTTCAAGTATTAAAGATCCCTTTATCATTATATTATATATACACACATACATATACATACATACGTACGTGTGTGTGTTAATAATAATTTGTATGTTGAGTGTGAGTGTGTGTATATATGTATGTGTGTATATATATATATATATATATATATATATATATATATATACACACACACACACACACACACACACTCAACATACTAATTATTATTAATTATTAAATTTATATTAAAATTATTTGGTGTACTGAATTTATTTTTATGCCTATTTTAACAATCAGTATGTCTGGACTGGATGATTTCAGTGTTACAGTAATGAGAAATTAATGAGAATCTTCAGTGAGAAACGAGAATCACAAAACATCTGCACACATTACAGTAATGAGAACTGCATGAAAATAAAGTCACAGTGCAATATAGTAATAATGGTTGTCATAATGGTTTTGGGGTGAAATAATAATAATAATAATCTTTATTTTATATAGCGCCTTTAAAAGTACATCTCAAAGCACTTTACAAAATATGAGCCAGACGTGTTCTTGAAAGACACACACACATCAAAGTGTCAGTGAATGAGCCGTTACACCCTCAGAGTCACGTATGACACACACACTCACACACACACACACACACACACACTCACACTCTCACACACACACACAGAGAGAGAGAGCCGCCGACACTGACACTATACAAACATACCGCAGTCTGTCTGCCTCATACATAATCAACAAACACCAAAACATCTCTCAACTTAAACACTCAGAAGTCATTCACAAGACGCTTTTAGATGCCAAAGTAACTTACTAAACTCTTACTACAAGTTTAGTGTCCTGTAGTGACCTCATGTTAAGAGTTAAAATTCATGCCATAGATCACTGCTTACAGGAATCAAACCTTTCTGAATACTACCACTGTTCAGACAAACAGACCAGATGCACTTCACTAGTGAGCCTGAAGATGACCAATTAACAAAAAAACTGATTCATGTTTTAAAACCATCCCAGTGTTAGACTCTTTAGCAAGTCAAACTATGAATGACTGACTTATAGTGACTCTGAACACAATGAAAAAACCATCTTAACATAAAAACCTACATATACACTACCATTAATAGTTTAAGGTTGGTAAGACTTTTGATGTCTCTTCTGCTCACCAAGGCTGCATTTATTTGATCAAAAATACAGTAAAAATTTGAAATATTATTGCAATTTAAAATAACTGTTTTCTATGTGAATATCTGTTAAAATGTAATTTATTGCTGTGATCAAAAGCTGAATTTTCAGCAGCATTACTCCAGTCTTCAGTGATTCTTCAGAAATCATTCTAATATGCTGATTTGCTGCTCAAGAAACATTTCTGATTATTATCAATGTTGAAAACAGTTGTGCTGCTTCATATTATTGTGTAAAACATGCTACATTTTATTTTCAGGATTCTTTGATGAACAGAAAATTCAAAAGAGCAGCATTTATTTGAAACAGGAATCGTTTGTAACATTATAAATGTCTTCACTGTCACTTTTGATCAATTTAATGCAGCCTTGCTGAAAAAAAAAAAAGTATTAATTTCTTCAACAAAAAAAAAAAGCCTCAAACGTTTGATCAGTAGTGTAAACAGCCGTCTATCTGAAGCCAAATCGTAAGCGATGAGCATCAGAGCGGCTCGTGGACGTGACAGTCCTACCTGTGAGTAGAAACGGCCAGCAAACACACGGCACAGCAGAGTCATGCGACAGACGTCCATCTCTGTCGAGGAGCATGAGGAGAGACGTGCAGCGTACAGAAATCCCCGACACACGTCTGTGCCTGTTACAGCTCTGGAATATCTGACACCACACACACACACACGGCCGAGCCTCTTCCTCTGACATACAGTAAGCTCTCATCGCTCCAGTCACAGCCGTGTGTGAGTCATGTTTACCTGCACATTACTGATGTCTCATCATATTCCTCAGACCCACCTGCAGTCCAGGTGTGTGGGGGCGTGGCTTAAGACAGGACACACCCCTAGCATTTACACAACAAATATTGTACTAAAGCTCATGTAGGACACAGAGACTTACAGGCTCTGCTTCAAAACCTAGTGAGCTTGTTTGCTGTATACTGTCTACATAAGCAACATCCTGACTGAAATGGAACCTTCTGAGTGAATTGGAACGCTCTACATACAGTAGGCATGCAACAAAAAAATTAGCACTACTTATTAGAACCACATGAGACGTGGCTTACAAACGAGTTGTATATGAGATGAACACTTATTTTTAACCCTAATATACGCAAAAATACTGGATACATTTTTAATTAGATTTATCAATTTCAATTACAGTGAACAAAATGCATTTAATAAACTTACTTAACTAATCCATAACCACAGAAGGCAATTACTATAGGTCCTATTTATATATTTAAAATAATAAATAAAAAAATAATAAAAATGAGCAAATAATAAAGAATTAATTACAATTAAATAAATGCATAAAAATAGATCAATAACATTTTTTCCTATAATTTTTATGTATTTATTACATTTATTTTATTTATCGTTATTTTTGCTTATTGCTTTTTTATACATTATTTTAAATATACACATTTTTGTTTATTTTATTTATTTATTATTTGTTTTTTTAATATTAAATAAAAGTAAATATATCAATAATAAAAATGAGCAAATAATAAGAATTAATTACAATTAAATGAATGAATAAAAATAGATAAATCAAATTTTTTCCTATAATTTTTATGTATTTATTACATTTACATTATTTATCGTTATTTTTGCTTATTGCTTTTTTATACATTATTTTAAATAGATACATTTTTGTTTATTTTATATATTTATTATTTGTTTTTTTTAAATATTAAATAAAAGTAAATATAACAACAATAAATAAACAAAAAAATAATTTTAAAAAATCTGTACATTTCAAAGCATTTTCTGCACTGCAGTTCAAGCTTGTGTGCTAATCGGGTTTATACTTTAAATCTGGCATTGTATGCTATGAATATTGTTGACATCTACAACAAATTGCTTGTGGGTTTCCTCATTCGCAAATGAATAAATGTAAATGTTTAACCTGGTGCAACAAATTTTACCAGATCAAAATATCATTTCAGTAAATAGTTTGATGAGTAAACTGGGCAATTTTAATTTCCCATAATACAGATGATAAAGACAATAAAAAGAAAGCAGCACAGAGACAGCCCTGTCACTGTGAATAAAATGAGCAACACTGAAGGAAATCTCTTCGCACCGTGAGCAAACGCGACTGCAGTGACCGCAGCGGAATCTGAATATAGCATCTCTAAAGATTTCACAATCTTTAATGTCACAGTTCAGTCTAATTCAACTGCTCCACAGGCCAACGACCACATCGACACCGTCTGCCCTGCCAAAATGAGTCATTTCAGGCGATCGCGTGGAGGTTTCGCTGAATTTCCATCATCTAAGAGTCATGAGTCATTCCTGACAGCATGAGACGAGTCTGAGTGAGAACACGAGGAACCATCGCTGATGAAAGCATCCAGTGGAACAGAGATGATGGGGTCAAAAAGACACACAGATATCCCAGCATGCACCAGCACAATGGAGCTACAGCTGACTTCATGTTCAGGGACACAGTGACCCATGAGAGCAAAAGGGAAGAGATTTTCATTTTACATTAATGCAACATTGCATAATAACTGCAAACAAGTGAAAACGGGAATAAAAATGGTGTAACTTGGCCAGAGATGAAAAATATGCACTCTTTACCTCATAATACAGCATATTCTCCTAAAGGCTTAACTAAAGCAAACAGCTTTTTATTATGAGATGAATCGTGAAAATGATGCTTTTTTAATGCAGCAAGAGGTCAAGATGTAATTAGACAGAGCTTTCTCTTTTAAGTCTCTGAAACTGTGAACTAAAGCATGAACAAATTCTGAATGAATGAATTTATAGAACAGAATGAGCGTGTTTGCTACAGGATTATTGGATGTGTTCACTGTAATGAGCCGCAGCTGAAAGAATCAACACTGAGTGATGAAATGTTGACTTGCAATTAATTTAACCAGGAACTGAAGTAGCTAAATCCAATCAACCAATTATAATTAATAGACATATTTTTCATTTTCAAATAAAATTTTCTCTCTTCATGATTCCCTGGATGAACACACGTTAAAACAGAGAACACACACACACACACACCCACACACACACACATTGAGTCGGTTTACCCTATCAGTCACACAAGAGTCAATCAGATTAACACTGAATGAGTGTTTGACTGATGGACAGCGTCAAGAGCAGGTGCTGAACACACACACACACACACAGACACAGAGACAGAGACACAGACACAGACACACACTCACACAAATGAAATCTTCACAAAAATAAGGCAAAAAATCATACTGAATTGCTTTATGATTCCTCTTTGTAAGATAAAATATTGTAAATTATGTTGTTTTTAAGATAGTTTTTAGTGTGCATGTCACACA